CTTTGGCAAGAAGACGATTCAGAAGGTATTCCCTGGAGATATAGTATCAAAAGCTTTAAGTATGTCAAATTTGACGCAAAAATACTTATCTCTAGCATTCAGATTAAAATCTCCAAGAAGTTCAGTGTCCAAAAGGATGTTATCTGAAATGACTCTGTCATTGATGAAGCCCGATTGGCTAGGATGTATGATGAAAGGCATGACCGCTTTCATCCTGTTAGCCAAGATCTTGGCAATAATTTTATAGGTGTTGCAAAGAAAGATGGGCCTATAGTTTAATAAATTTGCAGCATGGGAACATTTTGGAATCAGTGCAATGGCCATAGCATTGACATGTTTTGGTAAAGAGCCATAGTGGAAAAAAGAGGATACAACTTCACATAGTGGCTTTCCAATGGTGTTCCAGGTGGACTTATAAAATTCAAAGGTGTATACATCTGGGCTAGGGGATGAGGAGTTGGGTGAAGAGAAACCACATCTTTGATTTCTTCCATGGTAACATTGATAGTTAAGCTAGAGATGAGATGTTGGGGTATGGTGTTCCCAACATGAGAATTCCAATTGTCAGAATTTGGCATATATGGAGTGTTGTGGAGATTTTGAAAGTGATTAACAATTGCATTGTTGATATCCATGGGGTTAAAGAGAACCCCTTCAGCCGTGGTAATAGGTTTTATCAGGCTATGATTGTGTCGGGCTTTGATTCTAGAGTAAAGAAACTTTAAATCATCCTCTCCACAAGACAACCATTTGGCTTTAGTTCTTTGAGATATCCAAGCAGTCCAATCAGAGTTTCTTTCAGACAGTATGTGATTATTTCTCTTCAAGACCATGTTTAGTGCTTGATCCAAAGGGGAAGCTTGAATTTGTTCCAGAAGAAGATGCTGAGCATTGGAAAAATCTTCAATTTCTTGCTTGAGAGAGTTAGAGGAAGCCCAAGAATTAGATTTAATACTATTTTTGAGAATCTTGAGCTTCTGGTAGAATGAGCAAATTGGACTGCTGAAAGAGGGTAGTGAGAATGCAAAGATGAGGCAGTCCCAAAAGTCAGCTTTAGAAGTCCAGTAGTCCTTATAAAGAAATATATGCATATGATGGATGTTTGTATCATTTTGCAAAATGAAAGATGAATGATCAAAGATTTGCGGATCACCAACTCTATAAAACTAGTTGGAATATGAATCTAACCAAGCATCATTGACTAACATTCTATCCAGCTTGATATGAATGGGGTTATCAATTCTCTGATTATACCAAATGTAATAGTTTCCAACATAAGACAACTCATGAGCACCAATGCTAAAAATCAAGTTGTTGAAATCAGAAAGCTTTCCATTATTGAGAGTGATACCACCCATTCTTTCATGTGCATATCTGCAGCAATTGAAATCCCCAAGAATAATCCAAGGAGAGGAAATATTTTTTGCCAAATTAGAAATCTGCTTCCACAGAGTGAGTCTTTCTTCCAGAGAATTAGCAGCATAAATGACAGAGACCAAGTAAGCCTCATTATGACCCGAGAAAACCACACCATGGATCAACTGGTTAGAAGTGAGAAGGGGTTTGAAATTTATAATGAGGGCATTCCATTTAATCCAAATCCTCTCTGGGGATGAATAAGCAAAATTGTCAAAAGAACCTTCATGAGGGAAAATGGTGTTGGCGGATAAGAACTAAGGATTAGTGGCAGACAGAGTAGAAACTCAAGCTTCGAGAACAAACAACAAATCTAGAAACAATATATTTGCAACACGGTACTTTGTCCGGGTTGTTAAACACACGGGTGTTCCATGCTGCTAATTGGGGACTAATCATTATGACTTGGAGGTGGGTGTGGACGCCTTCTTGGCATTCTTAGCTCTTGTGTTTTTGTTGTTAGAGGGGTTTGTTTGTAGACAGTTTTTTTTTATTGTTGCCTTTATCCATGTTGTCGGAAACAATAGGTCGCTAATCTGACTGAATCACAAGAACATCCTTATCAGGTGGGCGCGGGCTAGACGACACTCCTGGTAAGTTGTGGATTGGCTCTTGCATAGTATGTTGGTCATTTAGAATATCAATTTGTTGCTGGTGATGAGTTTAGGGGACTTATAATAGCAGCACCAGGGAGGGATTTCAAAGTGGGTGAGGCGAGGGTGTCAGTTGAAGTGGAGGGCTATTCTTCATATGGAGAATTAAGGTTAGAAATCAAAGTTTGGATTATTGATGGCGCCTGTTCAATGGCTAAGGATGGAGGGGTGCTAAGGTTAGGAACAATCGATGGTTGGGCTGCTGGAATTACACTCCATATATTCGGTTTTAAATCTACTCAAACTAAAACCATTAGACTCTAAAGTTGACCTACATAATTCAAGTTTTTCTTCAACTTTCTTTCTAGTCTCATCAACAACAAGAATATCATAAGCAAAAAGCATACAATAGGGTACATCATCTTGTAAATGCTTATTAAGAACATTCATAACTAAAGCAAAAAATATATGGGCTTAACACTGATCCTCAACTTAATCCAACTAAAATAGGAAAATAATTCGTTAAACCACCTTATGTTTGAACACAAGCAACAACACCTACATATATATCCTTAATAAGTTGAATATAAGCACTATTAACTTATTTCTTTTCTAGAATTTTTTAGAGCACATCTCTTGGAACTTTATTAAAATCCATAAAAATCATAAATTTTAAAAGATACTTGGTTTAATCATCAGGAGTCCTTTTGACTTGATTTGACCCTAACTAGCCTTGGTGGCGCTTAAGTGACTTAGCATTCTCTCTACTAGCTTAATTCCAAGTGACCATAAACTCCAACCATTGGATTGCCTTCGACAATTTCATGCGGTACTAGAATTGTTTAACGAATTTTCTATAGGGCTTGATCATTTCCTTTAGATGAGATTAAGCAGACTATCAGTTTTCATATTAGTGTCAGTTGATCCTGGGTTACCTCATAGCTAGAGGGAGTTGGTCATACGAGACCAAGGAGGCCATTTTGCTCCTAAACTAGCTGGTAAGATGTCTTTGATGATCTAGGATATCTTTAAGCCTTATAATTACTATCCCATTTAACCCCAAGTCCCTTAGGTGATCTTAGGTAGACCACTAGTGTGACCCTATATACGTCTAAAAACCAAGTTAGTTGTAATTAAGTCAAGAGAAAGACATAACCCACCCTAGGGTGGGCCATGCTCATTCTCATAGTCTTTAAAAAAATATAAAAATCCTTAGACATAAGAAGCATAAGATATTTAGGATAAGAATCAAACTCATTCCTTAGCACCAAACCCTCTACCTTTAGCCTGCGTCTTAAGAGTCGAGAAGTGTTCAAAAACTAAAAAATAGATTTATTACTTCCAATTTCAATATATTAGGTGTAAAGCTCTGAATTTTAGTCCTTGGGAATTACATTAGGACCTCATATCTCTCTCTCTAAAATACATATAGTGACAGTGAAATTTCTTTTCTTAAAAGAAGCACATAAATAAACTATTTTTTTAGGGGAGACAATTGAAAGTTTTCCGTGAAAAAATATTAAGTAGCAAGAGCACATTAATCATTCTATATAAAAACAGCTTAAGAAATTGAGGGCAGGCACATGCTTGCATCTACTCGAGAAATGTGATGAGGAAAAGGATTTAACTGGATGTTAAAACAAATCATGGGCACAAGAAGAATTTGAGGTAAATAGAAGAAGCTGATAAGTAGAGTCAAGGAAAAAACAATGGAAAAGAATATCAAAGGAATTCAACCAAGAAAGCAACCAGTGATACTTTAGTAAGGCTCTACCTATTCAAGCTTTTGTTTATTACTTTCATAGTCACCTCGGCTTAATGCAAGTCCTCTAGAATTCCAGGCCATATCACTCGCATATGTAGTGGCCAATTTCATATAATAGGAAGATGTTCTATTACTGAAATTCACCATCACAATCTACACCAAAAGAAGGCTATCATATTCTTAAATTGCATTGAGTGTTTTAAAGATTAAAGCTAGGCCCATAGCTTTGACCTTTACAGCATAGTTTTTCTTTATGTACAAAGTTGAAGAGAAAGTTCACATGTGATCATCCCTTCAATCCACAAATCAAATTGATACCAAAGCTTAGATTCTTCACTCATAGGTTATAAGGTTGTAAATAATAAAAACAAGAGTTACTCCTCAAAAGTTGTCTTTATAGTGAAAACCCCGCAACTGACTCAAAGACGTTTAAAGAAGATCAAACAAACTAGAGAGACTTATACGAATAAAAGGTAGAAATGCATCCATTAGATAGATAAATAGGATTAGAATCAAAATATTAGAAAATCAAGTAAAATCCTAAGATAATATGAATAGAAGTTAAATATGATCTGTGAATAATAAGTTTAACACCTTAGCAAGTGTTCAATAGGAATGAATGGAAAATAAGGATTCAAAAAGTTCAACCTAAATAAATAGTTTGAATAAGGCTAATGATGAAAGCCATGTAACCATTTTTTTTTATTATGTTTCAGTGATCTGTCCATAAACAATAATATGCCATAAGTAGGTGTACTATCACCCATTAGTTTCTTTATGGGAACCAAAAAGTTGTCCTCCATACATACTTTGCTTAAGTCGCATAAATCATGCACCATTCTTTCGCTTGATTTTCACTATATTAGCAATCAAGTCAACATATTTATACCAAATAGTCTAACGTTATCATGATTATTACAATGCCAAAGTCATAACATCAAAGCATTTACCCTTACAAAATTAGGATCAAGATTTAGTAAAACCCACATGTATGCAAATAGCTCTAAAACGGAAAGCTGCTCAAAAAATAAGTAGTAAGGGACCTTACATCACTTTCAAAAGGCAAACATAATGGATAGGAAGATTGATAGTAAATTACACAATTCTAAAATGCTTTGTTGCCCAACTCAAAGCCCAAAATAAGTGTTCAAGCTCATGAGTTGCCTGTGGCATGAATATAAGCATTGATCCGATGGCTTGGAAACTTTTTTTAAAGCGATGTGAAATAGAAATTTAACGTTCGATGATTTAAAATCAAATATGATGAATGATAATCACTTTGATTTGAATAAAAGTTTCCCTTCTACAAAATAGAAAGATGCGTCTTTTTAAAGGGCTGTTGCATTAGTAATATATTGCATTCTATTTTTCTGAATTTACATTTTTGTCATATTTGATATGACGCAAACAACAAATGAAATATGAAGTAAAAATTTCAGGAATTTGAAAACCCCCAAAATCTGTGTTTTTCCTGCATTTGGAAATCAACCCAAGTGCTGCAAAATAAAGCAGAATCAGAAGTCATTAAAGCCCGCGAAAAACGAATCGATGGAAGACCTATACCACAATACCAACGAGCAGACAAAGCAGGGGAATATATCAAGATGCGGCGTATTAATCATTTAGCAAACTTTTATAGGATGAAAAAAAGAGGAGAGAATATCCAGAGGGCTTCGCGAAGAGCGAAAGCCAAAGCATACCGCTAATAGATTGGCGATCCAGAGCGCACCGTACCGCCGGCCAGCGCTACGGCAAAGCCCGTCGAAACCCTCAACAGGCTCCGGCGAAAGAGAAATTATTGTGTATACAATCGGAACCGAGGTGCGCTTATTTTATTGCTTATTTTTTGAAATATAATTTTTTTCGTTGCAAATAATTAGAAAATAAATAATACTCACTAAATACACAAAAAATATATAAAAAATACGTAGAAAACATAATATATCAAAAAATACACAGTGAAATAAGCAGTAAATACCCAGCATCCGAACACAATTCTGCATTCGGATTGCATACACAATGGGAGGCGAAAAGAGAGCAGTTTTGTCTGTAACCAATTAATCCACATGCAGCCATTAAGAAATTAAGAAATTATAAGTTCAAATTTTTTGTATATGTGAGGGTTCATTCTGTGTGGACGCCGAACGTCGTCCGGAGACTAATCAGAATGCTCCACATCATCCCTTTGATGTGTACCATGGTTCGATATCATTTGGTATCGCTGACAATATATGATAATAATTTAAAATTATAATTATTATAATTGCCCCAACTACTCTTAATGAATTAAAAAATTAATAAACACAACCAAACACTAACATGGCTTTGAAAAGCTTTTAACAACCCTAATTGATATTAGTCAATTTGCATGTCCTAAGTTTTTCAATGCTGACTTGACTGGGAAAATCACATTAGCAATACCAACTAAAGGGGAAATTGGCTTCATTTAAGGAGAGGGTAAGAAGAGAACAAGACAATGTATGTATATATAAAAAATATGTATTATATTAATCTCAAAGCAAGTCCAATGATTTTCAACCCCATCCTAATACAAATTGTATCAAAGCATCCCTATAAAATTTTTTCAATACTTGAGGGTAAATTAGATGAAATAATTTAACATGATTTGTTATCCAAGTGGTCTATATCCTTGTGTAATCCTCATTCTAATTAGAATTCTACTAGTAACTACTCAAATTCCTTTGCTCGTATAGCCTATGGAGAAATCATTAGAATATCTTATTTTAAGAAAAAAAAACATCAACTTTGTTACGACTTCTATAGTAATAGTTTAAACAGACACAAATAGCGGCAATTAAACCAGCTAGCAAAAGTCATCTATAGCAGTGGTTTTGAAACTGTTGCAACAAAGTGCTACTGAAATAATACATTTTTTTTTTTTGTAGTGGGTCATCAAGTCCTTGGTAGTTACATGAGACTATCACCTAAAAAATATAAGAAATATGTAATGCCTACCTCAAATTGTACATGACATAATACAAAACATACCATCAAATGGAGTTGAGAAAATTTGCTTTGATGATGGACACTTATGCTTCAGTCATGATAGTTTTCTTATTGATTTCTACAGTAGCTGTTTAACACGAAAGTTTATTGAAACCATCAAAGAAATAGTGGTAAAAAGTTGTTCCAAATAAAACCTTAAATTTACTTCAATATCTTCTCTTAAAATGATATTGCAGAGGAAATTCAATAATTCGTTGTATTTCAATGATTCATATAACAATCTTCGGTTGATTGATGTTGTTGGTAATTAATATTAACCAAGTACGAGGACTTGGAATACTTCTCATATTTTTTGGTTACAATAACTACAATATATCAATCAATAGTGTTGAAATGTTTGAAAACTTACATAAATTAAAAGGAGGTGCTCTATTTTTCATATATTATCAATTTAGGTATTGTTTGGGACAGCTTTCCTACTGCTTCTTAAATAGCTTTTTAGTACACAAATAAAAAAATTTGTACTAAAAAATTGTTTTAAAAGGTAGTAAGAAAGTTGTCCCAAATGAAGCATTGGGACGGCTTTCTTATTGCTTGTTAAAGCAGCTTTCTAGTACAAAATTTTTAAATTTTGTATTAAAAAGTTGTTTTAAGAAGCAGTAAGAAAGCCGTCTCAAAGCCCTTCTTATATCATAATCATCCAAAGAAAATAAATAATGATTGTTTTCTAAGAACTAAGCTACATCTAATGAACTGTTCTTTATCCTTTCTCACTCTATCTTTAATAGAAAAAATATATATTTCATTAAAAATCATGAAATAGAAACTTACACTTTTTAAATATATATCTATGAGTTTCAGTGAATTCAAATTATTCAGTGCTGTCTTCTCTTGTTTTTAATAGTAAAGACATTTTTGTTTTTGTGTTAAACAGCCAAAATTGATCAAAGAGACTCATCCAAGCAATTATTTTTTGACTTTCTTAGAGGAGTTTTGAGGTTATATTCAATTGGTAAATGGCTGTATGGGAATTGGGAACTGAGAATGAGTCTCTTAAATAGAAAATTATATAAATAATATATCTCCTTTTAGCTTTAAAGTAATTATATGTATTGATGATTGCAAAAGTTTGTGAATATAATAAAGAATTTCATGCAAGGTTTTACTAATTCAAAACAATAAAGTTTGATTAATATCTTAATAAGGTTGATTAATATCTTAAGTTTGATTGGCAGTAAATCAAATTAAATAAATGAGAAAAAAAATATGTTAGAATTTAATTTTTGAAATAATAATATAATAATTAAAATTTTGGATTGAATTTATTTTGAAATAAATATATTTTTGATTAATTAATTTATTTTTATATTATACTCATTTTAAAAAATATTTAATATTTTTAAATTTTTAAATGATCATATGTTTTGATATCAGAAGTATATATTCCATAATACAAGTTTATGTGACTGCTTTATTCGTAGGATTTAGACCCAATTAAATCATTTTTTATTTTTCAAAGTCAAATATTTGAAGATCATATATCAAGACTTTGAAAATCGGATCGGACAACGAACTGAAAGAATGAGAGGTTAGCTGTTCAATGGTTCGACCGGAGTATAACCAGATAACGTAATAAACATTTATTATATTTAAATATTATAATAATGACATAATCATTTGCAAATATATAACAAAAATTGAACATAATCTTAATATGAAACAATTAGAAATATAACAAATAAATCCAATAAATTTAAAATTAAATATATTATTATTTTGTGCAATCTCTTTGTAGTCATAACTTGAGAGATGAAATCGAAATTGCTCTTGAGATCTTATAGTTTATATATGCAATTGGTGTGCTCTAAATATAAAATAAATATGACATAAGTAGGGTTTTTTTTTCTTTGGTTCCGTATAATTATAAGCTTTATCTTAGTTAGTTTTGGGGTCATCTGATTTGATCTCAATGGCTCAAATCATTTTTCAAATGAACCGTTCGGCTATTCAAAATGCAGACCGATTCAGCCTGTCCGGTCCGATTTTTAATGCATGGGATATTGTATGGGATATTATTGAAATACTTATTTTTTTATTTTAGTACTAATGCAGCTCATCTTGATTTGTTGGTTGTGAGCTTTTGCTACTAATCAAGAGGTCTTAGGTTGAGTCTTAAGTAATGTGATGTATGCTTGAGTTTGCTTTAATTGAACTAAATGTCCCAAAAAAATTAGAGATTTTTATATACATAACATCTAAAACTATTAAAAATAGATATTTAACTCATAAATTTCTATATTTACTAATATACCACATCAAATTCATCTTTCAATCAATTCTAACATTATGTTTAAACCTTTCATCAAAAATCACTATCAACGACAGTTTTCCCTGTCAGTGGCATCATTCCACATTGAATACAAGTATCTCATCGCTTTAATGGAGTGGTGAATAGAAAAAAAAAAGTGGATTTTATGTGGTATATTAGTAAATATAAAAGTTTATGTGTTAAATATATATTTTCAATAATTTTAAATGTTATATACGTAAAATTCCTAAAAAATTATAATCCTAAAACAGTTCAAATCTTTTTGAAAAATAAATGACCTTATAATTACTCAAATTCACAACATTACCGATGTGAGAATACTCGAGCAATTTCCGGCTGAAATTTTAGAACTGATAAAGGCTATTAAGGCTTCGTTTGGAACGGCTTTTTTATTGCTTTCTAAAACGGAGTTAAAAGAAAGTGCTTTTTCCTAATGATCAGCTTAAATATATCTATAGCAATTTTTTAAAATTTTTATCTTTCTACATTTTGAGAAAAAAATGTGTTCATTAAACATCTAAAAGTTACTTAGTTCTTTGATTATTTGATAGTTGGAATCTTAAATAATAAATTATACCATCATGATTTAATCATTTCTTATCTATATGTAATTTCAAAAATAGAAATAATTATTTCTAACTTGGAATGCTGTACAATTCAAACTATTTAATTTCTCATAAAAATAAGTATATATTAAACATTACTTATATACAGTTATGATAACTAAGCTTTTAAATAATTATATTAATCAAAATAAGAATACTTAATAATTGGGTCTGGTTTACTAAACTCATCAAGTTATAATACTTAGTTCTTTCTATAATAGATGAAGAAAGCATATAGGAAATAAATTATGGGCCTAGCTTAGTAAAATTAAATAAATTATATACTTCAAGTTATAACACTCAGTTCTTTCTATAACTGAAGAGGGCAGTATTGCAAAGTTGAGTATACTTTCTTACTCTCATATAGTTATAGTAGAAGTTGCGAAAGAAGTAGGGGTGATTACAGTTTCATATGTGATAACTTTCTTAATGCTTTCTAAAATAGCTTTTCAGTTCAAAAGAATTTATTAGCAATTTTTGTACTAAAAAGCTATTTTAGAAAGCATTAAGAGAGTTGTCCCAAACGAAGCCAACATCTATTGAACGATATTAATAGTCGAACAACTATGGTATGATGAAAGCGATCTAGCGATGATGATATGGAGAAGGTTGTTGACTGATGGTAATCTTGCAATAACAATCACACGGTGGTAATTGGAAAGTAACAGTGAGACAATGATGCTCAGATGAAGAGGGATGGACTATAATAAAAAGGCGGTGATAGTTAGGTTGTGACGGCGGTCCTACGACGATAATCAAATAGTAACAAATCAAGTTGGTGGTGATTGTAGACGTTGACTTTTAAGTAGAATGCTAGAGATCTTCAAAGCTTCAAGCTCTCTGAAATCTCTTGATCTCGCTCATGCATGAGAATGATGATTTATTTATAATTTTTTTGGAAGTTACATTTTGATAAATTTAATCAAAATTTCATAACATTCAATTGGACAACTTATATTAAACAATATAATCATAGATAATTTATTAAGCCTTTAAAGCCTTAATGACCTTAGAACTAAATTATTTTTGACTCGTTGGATTCGTCTTGTTAAGCTGTTCAATTTGATTGTAAGCATGTAATGTTTGAAGATCATTTAGTCATTTAATTAATGCAAAAAAAATTCAAATATGCTTTAAGATTGATTTGGATTCATTTGGACTCAAATAAGATAGACTTTTGCGCCATTTAATTTGTCTCATCTAAGCAATTAGTTTTATTATAAATTTATTAAAATTCGAGCTTAAATGGTCTTCAATTTATTTTCGAAAGTTTTAGTATATGTAATGCATCAAGAATTGTTATTTAAATTTAATATAATTAAATATAATAAATTTATGAAAAACTTAATACTAAGTTATATGAGTAAATCAAAGAAAAAAATTGGTTGAGAATATTCTAATAAAAAATCATCTTAAAATAATTTAGAGAAAATTTTTAAATTAGGTATTATTAAAACTTAAATAATGTAATTAAGCATTGAAAAAAAAAATTGTCAAAAAGTAGCTCATCAAAAGGTCGTTTTATGTTGACTCAGATTTGTCGAGTCATGTGCTACTTGTCGAACTAACAAACTACTTGATACATCGTCAAAAAATTATCTTGATCGGGCACGAATCTCGAGGCAAAAGATAGTTGGAAACTTCAAAATTTAATTTTGGGAGCACCCGAACTCCGATTTCAGCGAGCTTACAGTCAAACTGAGCGTCTCGGAAATACGAACCCAACGACACCAAGATCAACTCGATCCAAGCCCAAATGGGTCCGAATCATGGACCCGAAGCGCTGTTGGAAGGTTCAAACCACAATTTGAGTTACCAAACAGACTCCGATTTTGACGAGCTTATACTCGAATCGAACGGTTCGATGAGACGAATCCAAAGAGCCTAAGATCACTGAATTCCAACATCACTAAGGCCCTCAAATGACCAACGAACGGTGCACGATCGTAGGATTTAATATCGGCCGTCCATTCAACCACTCCCTATTCGCCCCTGATCTCACGCCTATTTACGGGCCATGCCACTCCAGAAAATCTATAAATAGAGCCCTCATTCTCACAAGGGGGGTCTAAGCAAGAAGAGAGGAAGAGGAAAGGAAGCTCTCCTCTGACCACCGCCGGAACCTCGCCGGACCAAGCCGAAGCCCGCCGGACCCACACGGAGCCTCGCCGGATCACCGCGTGGAGCCTCAACGGACCACGCTCGGGAGTTCACCGCACCACCGACATCTCAAGGCCGCGACGCGCTACTGAAGGCCCGACATCATCAGGCACACACGTTCTCTCAAGGCCGACTTCAGGCCTGACAGTCTTCATCTGAGGCCCTCACCTTCTCCAGAAGCCCTCACCTTCGTCAGAGGCCCTAAACCCTCGCCAGAGGCCCCTCCACTTTCACCACGGCCGAGGCCCTCACTTGCCAAGGCCATTGTCTTCGTCAGATTATCATCAAAGGCCGTATACTCACACCAGAAATCACATGAGGCCTTTCAATTTCGTGCAAAGCCTCACAACACCTGATGTCTCACCTTCACCTTGAGGCCCTCACCTTCGCCAAAGGCCCTCTCCTCCGCTAGACATACTTCACTCTGACGCCTTTGCTTTGTCGGGATACATCCACTCTGATGGTCTGGACTTCTGCTGGGCCATTCTAACCTGACGTCCAAGAGTTCTACTTCTCAAATACCCCTGCCCTACTACAACGGTCCTTCCTGACCTCTGTCGCCACGTACGGTCCATCGCGACTCCATCACAGACAACGGTCTTTTCAGACCCCAGTCTCCTACCGAAACTACGGTCCTTGTCAGGCCTTCGTCGCCTACTACGGTCCATCCGACCTCCATCACCAGACAACGGTCTTTCAGACCCCAATCTCCTACCGACTACGGTCCTTCAGGCCTTCGTCGCCTACTATGGTCCTTCCGGCCTCCATCAACAGACAACGGTCTTTCTGACCCCGGTCTCCTGCTGACTACGATCCTTCCGAACATACAAACATGTATATGTAATTCCTACTATGTAATGCAATCTGTATGATGTACAATTGCTACATCAATCCAATGCCTTCTCCCAAGGAAGAGCCTCATTTGTAACGACTACAAATACTAGTGGATTCATTCAAACTGGGCTAGGCCCCGTGGTTTTTCCCCCTTTTTAGGGGTTTTCCACGTAAAAACTCTGGTGTCTCTTATGAATGTTTCACCCTCTCTCTTATCTGCTTGTATGCTGGATCTTCGTACAATGTTAAGACGTTAAACCATATATTTCTCTACCGCCGCGAATACTCCAGGACGCAACACTACTTATTTAAAAAGAAATTACTATTGTAATGTTGTCCGTTAAACGGACAACTTGTTACAATGAATTTTGAAAAATGATTTAAAAATAAAATACATTAAATAAATATTAAAAAAAAACATAGAGAATAGCAAAAAATGTAGAGTTAGTGTAAAATATAATTTTTATATATTAATAAAAATCATCCATTTATATATAAATCAGTGTAAGAAGTCATTCATTAGTCACCCATTCAAAACATATTGTTTCAAAATTTACATAAATAAATATATGTGAATATGATATTTATTTTTAAAGCCTATATATGTTTAAGGAGAAACATTGAATTATTTTTTTTTTCTGCTTTAATTTTGGCTATAATGCTTATCCATTAAAAAAAATACCAATTAAAAATAAGTATATTATCACCGTAAAAAAAACAAAAATGTTCATTTTAATCAAGTTTTATTAATATATATATTTAAATTTTTGACTTCTATTAAAATATAGAAATTATTTTTCAAAATTTACTGTAGCAAGTCGTCTGTTTAACATACAACTTTAAGTAATAAAATTTTTAAAAATATTATGTTAGTTCTGCGATTGACACATAAATCGCCTGTTTGATGGACTACTTTAACAATTTTAAATTTTTTCTTTTAAATTCTTAATTATATTATTAAAAATTTAATAATATATTGTCTATTTTTTTTTTCCAAAATTTATCATTTAAAAAGTAAACTGATCAAAATTTATAAATTTAAATTTTCAAGTAAAAAAAAAAAAACGAGATGTGAAGAGAAAAAGTCAACGCGCGAGGTTGATCTATCTTTTGTCAGACCCCCGCCTTCCACGGCTGCCTCCGCTCTTTCTCGTTGAAATTCCGCACTTTCTCCTGCGGATCAGCTAATCACCATTATTATAAGAAGCCAAGTCCGCCTTCAATCTTTAAACAAGTTCGAGAGAGAGCTCCTTTGATTCGACCTAAACCTCAATATATTCTGTTTTTTCCCTTTCTCTTTCATTCGATATAAGCGAAGTGAACGACGATTAGATGGCGAAACTCTACGCGCAGACGGTGCCGCCGCCGGATCTGAACAAGAACACGGAGTGGTTCATGTATCCGGGAGTGTGGACAACCTACATCTTCATCATATTCTTCACCTGGCTCACGGTCCTTTCGGTCTTCGGCTGCACCCCTGGCATGGCATGGACAATCGTTAACCTTACTCATTTCGCCGTACGTACTACTGACAAATTCCTATCTTATACGTTTTGATTATGCTTTTCATTGTATTTTTTCTGGAGTATGCATAGTTGTAACCCTCTTTCGCCCAATTTTTTTTTTGTGTGTATCGTTGATTCTGATCTGGAATTGTGTTGTTTGATTCATCCTTCGAAAAGATTCGATTTTAACAGCTGACTTAAATTAATTTCATTCATTCATTAATTTAGCTGCATATTTATGCTTCATGGGATTTAGTTTTTGAGGAGGGAAAATCTAGGGCACAATAGCCGGCAGCTCTTGGTATTTTAGATGGATTTTTTTTTTCTTAATTTGCTTTGCGGTACATAATCCCTAAGTAAATGAAGCAATTTGTGTGCTTTTTCAACTTTGGAAAGCACAGGAAGCTTTAAACTGACCTTGCAGATCGTTCTATTTGAAGTTTCTTTTGCATTGGTTATTGAGACAGTGGTCCATGTAGCAGAGCTGTCCTGATAGTTTGTGGATTTTTTTTATTTTTATTTTTTTTGTTGGGGAGTGGAATGTTATGTTGGTGGAAGGAGAAGAGGAAGAAGATTGGAAAATTCAGAGAATGAGTTAGAAGAGAGACTTTTATCTTTATGCGGTGCTAATTTTTGGTTCCATAAAATAAGACTATAGCTTTATATTACCAGCATAACTTGGAGAGGATATTTTCTAGAATTATCTTAAAGATTAACCTCTAAAATATTCAAACTACTTATTTGAACATTTTGGATCCGTTCCAAACTAATGGCCTTGTTTAAGGGGTTGGGGCGTTAATTAGCTTCTTGTGGTAGGGGGGGTTGGGCCGCTAAGCGTGATGGAGACTTGATAGTAGGATTGAGGATGTTACAGTGGTAGTATATCTTTAGAGGAGAGAAAACTAATGACAGTGGCAAAGATATTTAAGTTGGATATTATTGCAATGGAACTATTAAGAAGAATTATTGTGAAGAAAGATTTATTAAGTCGATTTCAAGTAGTTAGGATGATGAAATTTGTGTGTATTTGGTGCATCTAAATGGAGAAGTTTTTCAAGGGGACCTTTTTGGTTGCTTTGGGGTTTTGGTTTTTGTGGTATTAATGACTTGGGCAAATTTTATTTTAGAAAGGACCAAAAGGTGGATGTACCAATCTAGAATGAAGGTGTTATGGTTCTTTAGGGGATCGATTTTTTTCTATCATTTGAAATTTTGTGATATAGATTATATTGTTATTGAATGGCCGGGCAAAACATTGAGTGGGAAAATTTTATTTTAGAAAGGACCAAAAGGTGGATGTACCAATCTAGAATGAAGGTGTTATGGTTCTTTAGGTCTTTAGGGGTTCTATTTTTTTCTAACATTTGAAATTGTGTGATATAGATTATATTGTTATTGAATGGCCGGGCAACATTGAGTGTTATTTATTTGGTTCGGTGTTGTTTTCTCAAAACATTACATTGGTATGTAGCAAGATTAATGGTGTCAGGGCTTTTTCTTCTTTTTTTTCTCCTTTCCCCTTAATTTCTTTTGTTATAGATGTTATGTAGATTACCCCAATTTGAATGTCTAATGTTATCCTGATTACCTAATGCTCAATTTAGCGGTGAATCACTTAACTCTCAATGTTATAGGTTACATAGCAATGAAGATAGAAACAAAGGCCTCTCAACCTTTAAAAAAAAATCTTGGATGCTTGCAACGACTTGTTGAATTTTGTACCTGCAACTTGGAGACATCACATGCTTTCTCTTTTAGTTATCTTGTAACTAAAGATATGAAGTGCAGTATTCTTTCTTTTTCTGTTGTTAGCTGATTAGCTGCTACGAATGTATAAATTTTAAGATAATTGTAGTTAATCATACCAATAAATCCGAGTTTTGTTTTCTTACTTTTATAGGTCACATACTACTTTTTCCATTGGAAGAAGGGAACTCCCTTTGCTGAAGACCAGGGTATCTACAATAGATTAACTTGGTGGGAACAAATAGACAATGGAAAGCAGCTTACTGATAACAGGAAATTTTTGACGGTTTTACCTGTGGTTTTGTAAGTAGCATTTAATTTTATTTTTCCATATTGACTATTTTTCAATAAGCTTCACTTTTCTCCTTTCAAAATTCGATTGTTAAGGTAGATATTAACAAAAGACAGCTGAATAGTTGGCTTCAAGCAAAATGAAGATGTTAAGAATAAAGTGTTATAGGACAAGCTTATGCAGTCCTCTTTTGTTAAAATTCCTTAGGTTTTTCGGTTGAATATGTTCCTTTTACCTTTACTCGTTGTACATGCGTGCTTATAGAGTAACTTGGACTCTCAACTTTGCATATGGATTTTTTATAATTTCCTATCTTCAAACTTAAATCTAGTACCATTTTTCCTTGTCATTTACTTGAAGTACTTAAGTTTTTCTTCATTCTCCTAACTCCTACACTTGTGGATACTTTTCAAGATTGGATTCGGGTAAGTTTAGTTTCATTAAGATAGGTTATAAAGTTTAATTACTTGTGTTCCTTAACTTTAAAGTGGCTTGGAGTCTAGATAAAAAATAAGTGACTTGTCTAGTTGCATAAAGATTAAGTTCTAGTCAAGTAACATTTGAGAAATAGAAAATGTGGTTCGTACTTTTAACTTTTGAATTATGCACTGTTTTCGTCAAATTACTTTTCTCAATGTGTTATGTTGAATCTTTAATTTACAAAAATTTTAGGCAATCTGAGCATGTGGGAGATTTATCATATTTTTACAACCATTTTCATTACCTTCCAAGATTCGGATAGGATAGATATTGAGTCAAGTTCAATCAAGTTGGGCTTGCATTGAACTAAAAGTATATAACTTGAGTCATCTCTAAATTCTCCGATTTCAATTCTTTTAAATAATTTTGGGTTGTCTTAAATAAATTTATAAATCACACAATTTAATATCTATATGGGACAACATTTTTTAAAAAGCTTTGATCTAACCATATTTGGTAACTGACAAGGCTTGAAATCAAACATGATAATTATCAAGTTGGCTGAAACAACTATAACATTTACATGTTAGTTCTGTCTGGAATATGACTGTGTCGATCAATCGGGTTGCACTGTTGATTCAAACTTTAATTTCATAGGTCTAGCTTGTCAGGGGGTTGCAGAGGGGCCTCCTCTTACTTGGGGGCCTTGCCCCAGATTTTTTTTCCGTACAATCATATAATGTTGCGGCGCTGTAGGTTGTAATACCAAAGCACTACAAGGTAACTTAGAGACAAACGATGGAGAGCCACGACGCTCCAAACCCTGTTGTCGCGACACTATGAGTCGAACTAGGCAATTTTGTTTCTTGTTTTTCATGCTTAACTTGAAGGGTTACGTCCCTTGGTGTAATTTAAGTGCGTCTCTTTGTCTATTCTATGTAAAGAATGAAGTATGAAGTGAAGAGAAACAAAGAGAGAGTGCGAGACAAGCGATCCGTGTCATTTCTTTTAAATTTTCATAGTGAATTCCTTGGTGTGGCATGGCTCCGTGGTTTTTTTCCCATTTTTTGGTTTTTCCACGTTAAATCCTAGTGTTCATTTCCATTGTTTTTTTTCTTATTTGTTTCGTTGTGCGGTTTACTTCTCAAAACCACAATAAAGAGCAAAGATTAGAAGTTCCCAACTGATATTTTAAAGAAATTGACAAACATTTTGCTCATAAATTTTGATGGATCAAATTGCTAAATTTTTTGTTTTTTCACTAAGGCATATGTTGACAAATATGCAAGTATTGAAGTACAAGAATATACCTTTGTTAAACAACATGAAAGACTTAAAAAATGAAGACACTAAAGAAGAACCTATTGGAAGTGAAACGTAGAGAAAGTTCAATGGAGTGATTACGTACACCAGTAAAAAGAGTGGATATATATGCTAACTTACGAAGTGGTAGGGTTATAGAAGCATAATTATATTTTACATATTGTAACTAGCTTAAAAGGCTCATTGCATGTAGATATTAATGAAGAATTATGCACATGCCAAGATCATCATCATCATCGTTAGCCTTATCGTAATATTTGAGGTCAGCATTATTAATCATTATTTTTTATTCATTCTCTTTGAGTGTTGATTGATCTATTAAACTATTATTTACAAATCATTTTAAACCTCCTCTCTTCATATAATACTTAGTCTACTATTCGTAATCATTTGACACTAATTTTATTAAACTATTCCTATTTGCAAATCTTTGTCATCTATACTTATTCTGTAATTATTTTAAAATAAAAACTACTCCTATAGTAGATATTCCGACATGAAACCAAATTGGTTCTCCGAATTTAATGTAATTTTTTTATGTTTCATACTCTCTCCTATAGCTTTATTGTATAACTCATAAGTTTAATTCTTTTCTTTTTAGCATAATCTTAGACATCACCTTTATTCCAAAAAATTGATATTAAAATGCTTATTTTCTAATCATTTGACATGCTTTTAGTTTTCAAAATTATATTAAAAATATTTGTTAATTAAGTCATTGCAATATCCTCTATAATTCTCTAAATCTAAAGTGGTATCTTATATGGATCCAAAGCAGGTATTTGTACATCTTTTTTGTTTTTACTTCACTTCACTTTTTTCGATCAATCTATAATACATTTCACAATATTATTCATTAAACTCTTTCAAAATAATTTATTTCTTAAATTTCTCATTTAGCAATTTCTCAAATGTTTTCATCTTATCTTGATGCGTTCATCTTTAACAATATCTTATTATCTTTGCTTTTAATGCTTCTAATTTGATCAAAAGCCCTAGATCCTTTTTATTTTTACTTAATAATTCTATGTATCTCATTTTGCTATTTCTTTGGCATCAAACCTATATATAATGGGATTGAAAACTTGTTGACATTCATTTCATTACCTTGCGGAGTTGCAAATGATTTTTGGATGTGGAGATAGTTTGAAACTTTGAATAGTAGAACTTTTGATTGTGGAGATAGTTTCATTTCTAGAAATTGGGAGGGAGGGAGCAATGAATGAATGAATGAAATTTCTTAAGACTACTCTTCTTTATCTATTCATGAGAATTGATTACTCTAGAATCATCTGATTTTGGGTGATGATTTTCCAACTCACTTCTCTCACTATTAAGTTCAATTTGGGAACCTTGGTAGCCAAAGGTCTTTATTACAATATTACATTAATCTATAGGGTATTTATAAAAATTGCAAGGGTTCTAGTACTCAAAGAGGTTACTTAGTCATGAGGCTTTGGATTCTTCTCAGAGTGATGGCTCTAATTGCTCCACGTCTATGCTTGTAACAAATACGTAGAAGCCTGAAACGCTGTGCAGAGGTGGCCAAATGGTGCTTATTAATTTGATGATAGGGCGGAGTGGCGACAAATTGACCACTATTGTAGTGTAAGAGTGACTATTATGATTCATCCGTGTAGAGGCGTGATATAGAACTTTTCTTCCACAATAACTAAATGCTTTCATTGATCTCTGAACTGAAAAGATTGATTGTATTTATGTTGGATGGGGATGTGTAATTTGAAGTGGAAATGGAAGAGAACTTGTTCATTGTAAATTTAGCTGTTGAAATAGTTGTTATGGCTCTGACAACATCTTGATATGGATTAGGTTGTCATCAAGTTGTTGCTTTAGGGAAATTCACAAACTTGAAATTATATGCGCCTAGAAGAATTTAATAGGATGTTGCAATTAAGATTTAACTTTTAACGAAGATAATTGCCGAAGCTTTCTATTTTGGCTTCTTCTTATCGCCTGTGCTTGCCAAGTAGCAGCCATATGTCTCTAAGCATTTCTGACGGGACTACTGCAGCTAGTTTTGGCAAGCTATTCCCTGTTTGCTTGCCATGCAAATTGTTCAATATAGCAACAATGGTTTAATATATTCATCATCTAAAAAAACAGTATTCTATGTCGACTTCTTGTGTGACCTGCTATTTTTTCATTCAGAAATATCTTGTTGAGCTATATTCTTTTATCTTTCACTCAAAAGCCAGCTATTGGGGATAAGTGCTCAGTCCTTATAATGTTTTGAACTCCAAACGCTAGAAGGTGCTGAAATATTGATTTTATTACCAGATTTGGTTATCACCTGGTTGCTTGTAAATTTACACTTGTTACAAAACTTTAAAATTTTGTATATTCCACTTTTTCAATGGATGCACTTAGAAATGAACTCCACAAATCCAATGTTGAGGCACACATTAGAGTATTAGATTTAAATCCAACAAGTTATCATACCTCAACTATAGGCTTAAGCTTTTAAATTAAAATTAGATTTTATCATTGATACATCAGGCTCAAATTTTTGCCCTCTCGATGATTTTCTTGGGATTAAATGGTTTGCATGCTTTGTAGCCTACCATGAGAGGTGGCCATTCCACCATGGTCGAGTAACATTTAAAAGAGTTTTACTCTTATGAGGGATTCACATAATTGAGTGGGCTTTTGGTGCATGATACATTGATGATATTTTATGATGCTTGTGTTTAAAAGGGGGTAATGATTTAATGCATAGAGCATTTGTGGTATGGGCTGCCGGGTAAGATTGGAATGAATACTAAATAAAACTTGTAATAACTGGCTGGCCTGGGTTGGCATAAATCTTGAACCCACTTTACTCCACCCTGATTAAGGTTTTCATATTTCTAACCCATAAATGACTTTTGAGGGTAGAGAAACTACTCCTATACTTGTTCAATCGTGCTGAGCTAGCAGTTTAAACAACTATGGGTGCAATTGGATATTTGGATACCCCCAACTTCTGTTGATATTGGTCTGTGTCAAGAAAGTTAATGGAGGTCTAACGACTTAGGTTTTGTTTGGGACGACTTTCTTACTGTTTTTTAAAACATCTTTTTAGTAAAAAATAATAATTTTTTTTTCTACTAGAAAGCTGATTTAAGAAGCAGTAAGAATGTCATCCCAAACGAAGCCTTAATCAACTTTTCTGCATTTTTATTGGGTAAAAAGTGTTTTTATAGTAAATGTTGTCTTTTCTATTTTCAGGCCATTATTAGCACTAGCATTATGAACAAATATGGTTTTGAACTGGTTATTCAGCTTTACAACAGCCTGCAAACATTTGCTCCTACTGTCATGTTTAAGGCCAAGCATGTCAAATATCCTTCTCCTTCAACAGACATCTTTTTTCAGTATAATAATTTCAACCTTTTTGTATCAAATCTGGACCTTGAACTCAACTTAATAAATACCTACGTATCTATTAGTTCTCTATGAATCCTTGAAATGAAACTTTGTATTTTATGAATTTTTTCCGCTGTTTTTTAACTAGATAATTTTCTTTTGCAGGTACTTGATTGCCTCGCATACTACTGATTACCAACACCCAATGCTTTTCTTCAACACACTTGCAGTGATTGTGCTAGTCATCGCCAAGTTTCCAAACATGCACAAGGTTCGCATATTTGGAATTAATTCAGGCCATTAGGGAAGCTGGAAACTGAAATCATGATCGCTATATGCAGCAAAGCCAATGGAAGAGATCAGCTGGTGAAGCTGAGAGTAGAAGTAAATCTGGTAATAGATCAGTAGATGCTTGTTAAACTATGTATAGGTAGAACTCCTGTATCATCTTACTAACTAGCTATCTTTGAGTGCTGTCTGTTTTTGCAATTGAGTTTTTTGATATTTGGATTTTTCAAATCAAATCTTTTGTTTATCGCTGCTTCTTTATATCAAATATGTGGCTGTGAACTTGTAGTATTGCTCGATTCGATGAGCCCTATCAGTGAGTGAGTTTCAAACTGGAAGATCCGATAATTTGGAGCTTTCATATCTTATTATAGTTATGATTTTACAGTGAGAACTGAGAATATCAAAACGATTATGTTTTATGCTCAAATATATTAAACTGCATGAGTAATATAATGTAATTCTGATGCGAAGTGATTAATGATGCTTAGTTCCTGACCAAACATCATTAATTGATATCGACATACAACCATATAGCATTTTTGGGATATTTAGGCCATTTAAGGTAAACTCACACACACATCACATACACAAGACTCGAACCCAAAACCTCTTGGTTGGTCGTTAAAGGTTCAACCAACAGACCAAAGTGAGCTGCGTAGTTATGGATGCTATCAAGCCTAGGTAAATTGAATATGGTAGAAACTCAGTCTCGCTTGGAGATATGTTATGTGGATGAGTTTGATCTATTGAACACAAGGGGCTTAGTGCCCAAGAGTCATTGCCAAGCTAGTCCCCAAGTTTCATTGATCATGATCTGGCTTCTGGACTTGGCAACAACGAGTTGTCGCCTTCGCCCATCACTCATTCCCAACTAGTCATTAATCAAGAGGAATTCATAAATAAAAATATAATAACATGTTAAATAACTGAATTAAATTTATATAAAAATAAGCATTCCATATAAATTTGATATTGACAGCCTTCATGAAGAGCCAAAATTACATAGTTTTAGTGTATAGGGCTCAAAACTCAATAGTTTTAGGTTGATGTTCACTTGCATTTTAGCTCATACAACTGATAATCTAACTTACACGATATTCCCAAGTTGACTACTTCTCGTCTATGTTATACTTGATATAACATCAAAAAAATTATCTTGATCGGGCACAAATCTTGAGGGAAAATCGAGTTTGAAACTTCAAAAATTAAATAAGAGGCTATATGAACTCCGATTTTAGCAAACTTATAGTCGAATTGAACGTCTTGAAAATACTAACCCAATGACACCCAATTCGATTCAATCTGAGCCCAAATCAGTCCAAATCAAAGACCTGAAGCGCATTTGGAAGGTTCAAACCATAATTTGGATTACCAAATAGTTTCCAAACGTGACATGCTTATAGTCGAATCGAGCAGCTCGACGAGACAAATCCAATGAGCTCAAGATCGCCGAATTCTGATATAATTAAGACATTCAAATGTTCATTAAATGGTTCAAAATCAAGGAAATCAACATCGACCGTTCATTCAAACCACTCCCAAATTACTTTTGATCTTCCTCCTATTTATTGGACATGCCACTCTCAGAAAATTATGAATATACCCCTCATTTCTCATGGAAGGGGGGTCAATGATGGAGAGAAGGAAGAAGAGAAACTTGAGTTCTCTTGCCATGAGACTCCTCCTCGACCACCGCTAGACTTTTGTCGAACTTTTACCCGACGCCGAACTTCCGCCCGTGGCCGAACTTCTACCTATCGCCAGATTTTCTTCGAACTTCTACCTGACACCGAACTTTCGCCCGTTGTTGGATTTCTATCCGACGCCAGACTTCTACCCATTGCCGGACTTTTGTTGGACTTCTACCTGAAGCTGGACTTTCTCCTGTTGCCGGATTTCTACCCTACGCCGGACTTCCACAAGTCGTCGGGCTTATGCCCGTCACCGGACTTCCGTCGAGCTTTTATCTGACGCTGGACTTACATTTATCGTTGAACTTCTGCCTGGGGTCAGACTTCCGACCTCCGTCGCCAGCCGACTACGGTCCTTCCGACCTCCATAGCCATATTGTGGTCTTTCCGACCTCCGTCGTCTGACGACTACGGTCCTTTCATCCATCGTCACCCAACTACGGTCTTTCCGACCTCTGTCGGCCACCGACTATGGCCCTTCTGACCAAACAAACAATTCAATAGCGATTCTTTCTATTTCCACCATGTAATGCACTCCATATGATGTATATTTGTTACATCAAGCCATGGCCTTCCCCCCAAGGAAGTGCCTCATTTGTAATCAACTACAAATACCAGTGGTTTCATTCAAATTAGGCCCAAACCCCATAGTTTTTCCCATATTCGGGATTTTCAACGAAAAATTTTTGGTCTCTTATAAATGATACACCATCTCTCTCATCTGATTGTGTGTTAGATCTTCCTACAAAGCTAAGACGTTAAACTTTATATTTCTCTAACGCCACGAATATTTTAGGAGGCTACAATGCTATTCCAATCTATCTTCTAAAAAGGGACAACTATTAGAAAAAATTCAATAGAACCATATAAAATGAGTGGTGCACCGACAAATGTTAATCTATAAAGAATCTTAAACGATGTTATTTGTAGGAGCTCTGATGTCGGTGAAGGAGCGCCAATTGGCCTCCTTAGTTGGAGATGATAGACATTGATGTCGGTCAATAAGAAATTTTGGGCGATTGTTGATAATTGTCAATGCTAATCAGCAAGCAATGTCAAGTGGCAGGCTATTATGCCATGGCCATTGTCAGGTGGTAGTTCATTGTTTGTCAAGCAACTATGCTTGCGAACATAAGCTAATGTTGCTCGAGCAAGTGTTTGGTGGACCTAAAAACACTTGGTCAATAATGGACCTACCTTATTTGATTTAATAGTTTATAGACAATATCATCCATCGCTAGCCTGATAGACTCAATTAATTAAAAAATTGCTTTAAAAAGCATAAAAAAAAAGTTGTACCAACGAAGCCTTTGACTTCATTTGGAACAGCTTTCTAAAATTTTATGTATTAAAAATCTACTTTAGAAATCAGTAAGAAAGCTGTCTCAAACGAAATCTTAGTGTTGCGATGACTTGTGTTTCGTTCATTTTGGAGATCGAAATGGCTATAAGAAATTTGAGCTCTAAAAATTTTACTATAAATTAAAAAAATAAGTGTTTTATCTAAAAAATTAATTGGAAATTCATGCATATTAAGTTAGTTTTTTGCGAGTTATATGTTTATCTCCTATTTGTATACATTAATATTTGGAAGTTCAAAGATGCTCAAGATCCCAACAAAATTGTCAACCAAAAAATTTCAAATTGAAAGAATTTTTAATTCCCATTAGTTTTAAACTTGAGAGTTTAAAAGCCTTGAGCATCTTAAATATATTTTTTAGCTCACATTAGAAAAATTTAGCTCAAATTTATTAATTAACCCTAAAATATTTATAAAGGTATTGTTCAGATTTGAAAGTGTCAGAGTTGACTTTGAAATATTTAAAAACAATTTCAAAGATAAGGTAAACATAAATAAAACTTGAAAATGATAACAAATAAAAATTTATTTAGGGATTGATTCACCTCAAATTCAAAATTTCAAATTCGGAAAAAATATTTAATTACTCATTTATTCAGTCTCTTATTATACCTCCTTTTTTTAATTAAAAATTCCTTAAATAGGAATGACTAAATTTTAATGACATAAAATTTAAAAATAGAGCCATTTTTTTTAATTTTTTGTAAAATCCAAAATATATATATCTTTTTTTTTTCTTGTTCCCAATTATATAAATATCCTTTCTTAGGTCTTAAGGATATCATAATTTCTCTTTAGTTCTTTAATATTTCTCTTCTAAGAGGCTAACCCTTTTAACAAAACTAGAGTAGCAAGGTCAATTATTTCACCCTTTAAAGCTTCGTTCTTTCTTCACAATATGATTTGCATGTAATTCATATTGATCTAATTGTTAAGAGCTTAGGCTATCAATCAATAGATTTTGAGTTCAAAGTTTAAATATGTGATGTGTGTGAGAGTTTATATTTAATTCACTCAAAATCTCAAAAAATAATATGATTAGCTATTTTGTTTGTCACTGAGAACTCTAAATTTCCTTAAAATGAGAGATGGTTGCCATAAATACAGTTCATCTTTGTCAATATTCTCTGCTTTTCTCTTGTTTTTTTTGTCAACTTTTTTTTATTATCATAGTCTCTTCCCATGATTTCTTACTACTGATGTAAAAGAACACTCAACAACTTTATGCTCTCATAGGTCTCTCATGTTTATATTTCCTTATCCTCAAAAGTTATTCCAAATCCTTGGCCCTCACGAAAGCATGCTTGGAATCCTTAGCCCTCACAAAAGCATGCTTTGGGTGAAGAGAAAAAAATTCTTCATTTGAGATAGAAAATAATCATGTTCTTCTTATCTTTTTTTAATTTATTGTTACTCAACTCCTTTTGGTTTCTTGGTTGGGAGCTTTGGCTTATCTTCATGAGCGACTCAACCACGCGCTCGCCTGGCGAGATTCGACTGGCGGTGCTCGTCTTGGATCGCGCCTTTGTGTGCTCCTTTTGGCCTTCAAGCCCTAGGTTTGTACAACCTTCTCATGCAATGGCGATCCACAGAAGAAGCTTGCTCCCGCATTGCAATCGCAAGCCCTCGTGTGCTCGTTCGCCCTATGCCTACGAGCGTCGGCACAATGCCTGCGCTGGTCTACTACACATATGCAGGCATCCGCACTTGCTCTGATCCCTCATTTGCATCAATGCACGTCTGGCCCTCGTGCATCCACCAGAGCGAGTCTGCCTGCGCACACACACAGATCTTCTTGCTCCTGTGTCTAACGGCCATCCTCCCGCCCTGAGCAGTTTGACCTGCGCTTCGCATACTCTGCTCGCTCCCGATTGTGAATCGAAAGATCACTCACGTGAACACCATGCACATGACCTCCTCTTTTTTATTAATAGAACACTTCCTCCTCCTTGATCACCTCAATTAGGTTCTAATACCACTTGTTAAGAATTTTAGAGGAATTCTTGAATGAGAGAGAAAGAGAGGGAAGGGAGAAGCGAGAGAGAGGAGCTGCAAGAATTCTTTATTCATTTATTAATGTGGGCTTTTATAGGGGTTCCTCCATACGTCAAGCTATACACTATTTATAGACTAGAGATTAATGTGGTGCCTTGCGTAACCACTTAAGCTAAAATTAGACCAATCCTGATAGGTTTTCTACTGCTTGGCCTTATAGAAAACCCTTAAGTTTGCTAGGT